ATAGGCGCCTCAACAATTAGAATAGGGTTTGGGGGCAGAAAACTGTCGGAAAACTGCATTCAGCCCATGATGAATCCAATGAAGGGACCACAAGGAGTAGAACTGAACTTTCGAATTCATCGGACCCCCCCGTAATTATCCAATTAAATTGGCCCTACTAAAGCCCTAAAAACCTTTTGCAGCCAGGCATCCCGAGGACCGTACTAAGCCCTAAACCCCTAGCGGGTGGTTCTCTAAAGTAGGTTCCCATTTAGCGTCCTTTTTATAAGGCTGCCGTACCTATAGTATCTCAAAAAAAGACCCCTAAGTTAGAGAACTACCCAAGCCCTTCTTTTGAGGAGGGTTGCAGTGCACATGCCCTCATGCCCGCCCCACGCCGAAGCTTCAGCCCTCGTGTCGGAAGGCTCCAAATTCGTGGCGCTTTGCGCATCCAAGGCTCCGTGCAAACCCTACCACCCTATCCCCTTGAAACCCTAAACCCTTAACCCTTAACGCCTTAACCCTAAAACCCCTAAGCAGATCAGAAAGCCGACCTCCGGCGGTTCTCCTTCAGCCTCCGGTCGTCGGCCTCTGGATCACCTGAGAGGCCAGGACATGCGGGTGGTAGGGCATTTGATTCCTGAGCTACCCCTGCCAAAGACTCAGACAAAGACGACTGCTTACCTACTTTTCCTACTGAGCCCTTAGAGCCCTCGGAAAAGTTCGTAAATGCAAGGAAACTCACCATCCACATTCCCAACGATGTATACCCCAGCGCCATTCATCGGCACATTACGCACCATCCAACTTGCCTGCACACGCGCATGTTTTGGACAAAGGGCCGGCGAATGCTTGTGATCCTGTCTGAGCTTATGAAATACTGCCTGTTGTGCGCGTCTACCGGCACATGCGGCGTTCCAACATTCTCTACCACCTATTCGCAATAGGTAGCGCTTGCTATCTTCTGAGACATGTTGCTCGGACACATCTCCGGAACCTCTGTCAAACAAACGTTCTCACCGGCATCACAATACCCAAAGTGCTTGCACAGGAGATCGAAATCGCGTGCATACACCTCTCGAATGAGCTTCTTAGTGTCGCAGCTTAGATCTCCGGGCCACACCTCCTTGGTTCCGCCACACCCTCTTAACAATCCAGTTCTAATTCGGTAGTCACAGAACAGAACTGTAAAAGGGTATCACTGTAGGACCAAGCCTCCGGACATCCACTAACGTGCATTATGTCACCGGTGGCAATGTGCATGTTTGTGTACCCGTGCTCTGCCAGCACGTCATTGGCAGACGTTGGAAATTTGCGGTTGTCGACAGGCACCGTTATGCCGTAGGGAGAGTCAAAATATTCTGCCTGCGGGACGTAGGTGCAGTCCTCGGCATATACCTCGGCAGTTGTTGAAGGCCTTACAAGAATCACCTTCAGACTCACCACTATGCTGCTGCTACAATCGAAAAACATGTTCAACAACCGCCTGGATACATCACCTGCCATGTACCGTTGCAGTATCTTCCTGACAGCTGAATCCACATCGCAAGCATCGTGGTTTGGAAACCTCGGCTCTACATAGTTTTTTGAAAAAGACGTACCGTGCTGCTGCTCTTCTCTATAAAACGGTGGAACGGTTCTGTTGGGGGGAACCTAGAAACGCTCCTCCATATCCAGGAATATTTCCCCGAAACTGAGCCACCAGACGCTCATAAGGATCTCGGAGCACACCGAAAGTCTTTTTCCCTGCAAAGTACCAATCAGCAAGATCCTTTGGCCAATGCTTGGCGGGCGTGTAGAAGAGCGGACAACCTGTTACGTTGGAAGTGCCATGTAGTGCTGGGTTCATGTGTCCCCAGATTTCTCCCTGTGGCTGCATCGAAGCCTGAAGCATGTCGAATTTCTTCTCCACCGGCATCGGCGAGCCGTCGACGATGATCTGCGCAGATGCGTAGACGTCTATGTGCCCGCTGCCTGCAAAGGCTACCTGTTCAATCGTGTGGCCAAAGTTGTATGGCACATGGGTGAACACCAAGTCGCGCTCTGTGGCTGCCGGGGGCTCCCTGGGCTGCGTGCTCAGCGACAACTGGACGAGGAGCGTCTCTGCACATTCATCGGCTTGGTCTTGCTGCCCAGCTCCAATCGAGGCCAAGAGCAGCAGCTGCACAAGAAACATTGTTGCGGTCGTTTGCGGTATGGTTTCGCTTCTCGCAAGAGGGCTTGAGCCGTAGCATGGTGGGCAGAGATGGCTATATACCTCTTTGATACGATTCGCTTATCAGATCATGTGTACTCCTTTATTCTAAACTCGCTGTTATTGCAACCCGTGAACCCTAAACCACTGCTACAGCTCCGTTGCTATAGACTTAAGTTCCGTGTTCACAGGTCCAGGGCGCGAAGGTTTCAGGCTTCTGGGGTGAGGGCCTGCAGGGCCCATCGGGGGTTCTAGGTCTAGCAGTGCCTTGATTAGGTTAGGGTTTAGGGGTTTTGGGCTTGGTAGCGATGAGTACAACTATGATCTGGGTTGTAAGTACGAGTAACTTCAAGATGAGGTGAACTTCAAGTTGAAGTGAACTAAAACGATCCTACCTACTACTCAACTCCTGCACCCTCATCCTTCACCCGACTCCTTCACTCTCAAAACCCGAATGCCTCTCAAGAGCTTGGATTTTTTCTGGAGTCCAAGACTCAACCGTACCAGGGGTCAAGGCGATAATTTCGGGGCCTTAATAATTAGAATAGGGTTTGGGGGGATATATTATACGATTATAATTAGGAGGTATATAGGGGCGTTAATAATTAGAATAGGGTTTGGGGGGTATATTATAATTAATACTTACTATAATTATTACAAAGGAACCCCCCCAAAACCCCATTCCAACTATTGAGGCCCC